TATTGATATATAATTCACAAACAGCAAGTTTATTAAACATTTTGTAAGTATACAAAACACTTACATATAATATAATTTTTATGAAAAAGCGGAGTATGCACATAAAGAATTTATATAACAAAATAAGTATCTAATATTGAAAAAATGGTGTTTTGAAAACTGAATTTTAGATTTTGACACATTTTATACATATTTATTAATCCCAACTTTTAACGCGTAATTCAGGTTCTAAAATGCTCCAATTTGGTGAATGTTTTTCATTAGATAACCAGTTAAAGTCGTCGATACAATTCCAGTTGTTTATTTTTGGATCTAAACCTGCTAAATTGAAGTGATTTACTTGATCTTCGTAAGACCAATTATAAGGTGCAACACGTATTTTTGTACAATCTTCTATAATCGATCTACTTGTAATATGTAAATAAATAGTACAATCTGTAGAAGAATGTAACCGAAATTGCTGACACGCGAAAGCAAATATACATTCACTACAGTCATGGGCAAATACAGATGATGTTACTGGTCCAACTAATACAGTACACTGCTTTAAGTTTACCATGTGTAAAATACTAGGTGTACCATAAATTCGTATTGTACAACGGATTAAATCAGAAAGTAGAATATCATTTTTATTCACATTTTCAGCATCCAATACTATTTGTTCATCAACTTTTCCCAGTAGCATACATGCACTGTCACCATACTTGCTTGACAATTTATGCTTCTGTTTTGTTGAACCATTTACAATTCCTTCTGATATTTTCAAATCTTTTAAACCATCTGTCATATCATGTGCCTTCTCACAAGTTTTCTTCACGACTCTTCGATTTTTAAAACCAAATTTTTTCTTAGGTAGTAACTTCATTTCTAAGTCAGAAGCTTCATTCTCTAATAATTGTAAATTTTCTTGTGCTCTTCTAATATCATAAACTTTTAAAAACATTTTTGATTGTGATAAATAATTTTTAAGTGTTTGAATTTCTTTATTTGTCTTATCAAATATTCCAGGAAGAGTTGATGTGGGTGTGCTTTGTGCCTCATCTAACATTTCTTTAATTTTTTTACATGATGAATAAAAAGTGTCCTTAAAATAACTACTTT